CCCGTTCTGGGCTCCTCCTCTTCTGCAGCAAGGTCCCAGACCCTGCTCCAAGAAAAGTGGTGGCCTTAAACGAGAATGGAAAAAAGAGAAGTTAGCCTTTCCTGCAGGCATCTGAGTGTGAGTCGGATGACTGCCTGACACAGACAGTTTGGAAGTGAGTTCAGTCTGCAGGCAAGGGCCAGCTTCAGATGATCCAAGCCTGAGCTCTCGCCCTGGTTTTCCTTTCCGTAAAAGCATATGCATCTTGACAAAGAGTCTCCCCTTCTTTAGTGAGCTTTAGTGAGCCTCCTCTGAACCCTCTTCTCAAGTAGGCCTCAACCTTTGGACTTCTATGCTCATCTTTGCATCATGATTTTAGCAAAAATCTTGCTAAGTCAGTTTAGCCAGAATCCCTAGCCTCAATATCTGATCACTGTTGACATCTGATGAGGATCCTCATTCCCACTATCTTCCAGGCCATGTCTGATCACCCTGATCTATCTTCAGCAAAAATCCTGCCAAGTTGGTTTAGCCAGAATCTCCCTTTACCCTTGATATCTCCTCTTACTAATATTCCATCCACTGACCCCCACCCCGCTCCTTGGCTATGAATTCCCATTTGTCCATGTTGTATTCAGAACTGAGCCCAGCTCCATACTGAGGTCTGTTTTCCCCTATTGCAATAGTTCCTGAAGAATCTGTTTTTACCACTTTAACTACTGTCCAGCTCTGGTTCTTCTGTGAGTCTACACACACATGCACACACGTGCACACACGTGTAACTACTGTCCAGCTCTGGTTCTTCTGTGAGTCTACACACACATGCACACACGTGCACACATGTGCACACACACACACACACACACGCTACTGCACAGCTCTGGAAGCTCTCCTCAGCAGCTCCTCACAGCTGGGCTAAGGAGCTCTCTTTGCTTAGGAACATGGAAACAGCCCCCCAATCCCCAATGAGTAACATTTACGACTCCTTTACACTAGTAACCAAAAATAGCACCAACCACAGTCTACTGGAGCCATGTTGGACTTGGGAGGCTCGGCCACCAGCCTCTGGATCTGGGCTAGCGTGCTGCAGGCTTCCTCCATCTCCCTCCAGATGAGAAACACGTCCTCTCTGACTCCAGCTCCTGGAAAGAGAAACACAGCGTGAGCAGCCAGCTGAGACAGGCCCGAGAACTCTCCAGCGGTCCTTTTAGGCCTGGCACATTCAGGACAAATTTCTAGAACATTTCTGAACATCAAATTCCACTTTTCTTATTAATCTCTTTCTGAGATCCGAAACTAAAGGAAGTGCTGTCACCTCAAGAGATTGTAAAGACAGACTTTAGGATGCACTAAATCCTTGTAAACGAAATGTCTATAGCAGCCAGAATATTTTAAGATGAATTACTGATAATACT